GACCATGGACGTGGAATAATTCCAGGTCTCCATCCCTTCACACCAAACACACAGAGGCACATACCTCCTTGCACATCTGCATCTACGCTTCCACAAAACAAATGTGGACACACACGACAAAGGAAAATTAATTGCTTAAGCTCCTTACAGCTTCTTCAACTAGATCTCTTTCAGTTTTCAGCCCATTCATGAAATTCAACACCTCCCCTTTTTGTCTCCCCAGTTCCCTATAGAACTGTGGAAAATCTACAGGGATTCTTGACTGAGGAGCTAATTGGTCAAGTCAGAAGGCATCTCCAGCTGTGCTTGGAGGAGCAGCACGGCTCACAGACAGCCCTGAGGGTTTCAGCTGTGAGCTGGGTTTCCCTCCTTGCCCTGATTTCACAGAAACGGCTGGGGAAGCACAAAGGAAAAACTCACAGGTGACGGAGCATTAGCGAAGTACGGAGGACTCACACATCCCGACTTTCTACTCTCCAGTCTCGAATTACACACCCATTTCTAACCGAACAGTACCTCTGGAGACAGCTGTCAGTACCGGCGCGTATCCCTTCTGCCGGGTCCTTTCCCTCCACGGACGCCCCACTGGTGGCTTCTCTCGTTGACCATTCACTCCCTCCACTAGTCAGTCCCTGAGATATCGTACTGAACCCTCGCACAAGGAACTACAGTCTCTCTGCAAACTCCCACTTCCACTCTCTCCTCCATCTTTCCCTCCACACCCACAGATTTCTTCTCCCTCTGAACTGCCCGGATCGCTCATAGTTTTATCTGCCTGTTGCACACAGATCTCATGTATCATGAAGACTGTGAACCGGCCATGGAAAGGGGAGGCCATGCTCCTGGCAAGCCGTGTGCAGTGTGTGCACAGTACCAGGCACATATCAGATCTGCAAAACCTGAATTGACTTAGGCACCGTTCCCAAAGTCAGCTCTCATTCCAGCAAAATAAAATAAACGCTTGGGGATTATTAAAGGGTGTGGTAGGTACTCCCTGTGCCAACGAGCATGTGCTCTCCCAGGGGGCTCCGTCCCACACCAGGCCCGCTCCACCACTGCCCTGGAAGAAGGAACACTGGCTGAGGACGCCGGGCAGGATGACATGGACAGAATCCTGGGGCGCCACGTAATCATGCCCACTCCAATCAAACACTAAATAGTGTCAGGCCAGGCCTCTCAGGCCACTAACACTAGTGCTGTTCGGACACATTATCTGGCAGTGGCCGGCTTCCATCTGGAACCCGTTCCCCCCAACTCCCAAACTAAATTCTCAAGCCTCAGGCTGAAGTGACAGGAGCACGACCTATGAGGCCGATGTAAAGCACCGATTTCGAATCAGTGGCTACTGCTACATAGATCAACCAGGCAGAAGGAAGAGAAGTGGTTGTTATGGAGCTTGAAGAAATCCCAAGATCTGACATCTGTCTGCCTCAACAGCAAACGACAGTGTCCCCAACTAATACCATTGCTGTTCGGTTCTCTCAGATTGACAGAGGACACTTCTTCATTTTTTATTGTGAAATAAATCACACAAACCAAAGAATACATTAAGTATATGTTCAGTTCAAAGATGAGTAGGATGAACACTCGGGGACCCACCCCCCGTATCCACAGGGCAGGGAAATTTCCGTGTGCTTTTTCCTCATTTTACGCACCTCCAGCCCCACAGTGAAAACCAACCTACTAAATTCAAGGTCACTTATTCCCTTCCATTTTTTATGGCTTTACTGGTTATGGAGGCATCCATAAAATATATATATGGTTTATTTTGACATTTTTAAACTTTATATAAATTACATCATACTGTGGGATTTTCCCCTCATGCCCTGCCTCTCTTATTCAACATTATGTTTCTGAGATTCCACCATATTGATACAACTGCCTTTCACCCATTTTAGTATGGTATGGTACTTCACTGCAAGACTATACAACAATTCATATTTACCTTACTCAACCAGACCCACTGACAGCATACTAATACAGTGTGTCTATAAATCAGTTTATGCCACATGATAAAATAACTAGGGATGTCTCACCCAATTATTCTTTTTTTTTAAAAAACTGTATTTATTTATTTACTTACTTATTTACTTATTTTTTTGAGAGAGTGAGAGAACACGAGCAGGGCAGGTGGCAGAGGGAGAGGGAGAACCAGGCTCTCTGCTCAGCAGGGACCCATGCTGAGCAGGGAGCCCAATGCGGGGCTCATTCCTAGGACCCCGGGGATCATGACCCAAGATGAAGGCAGCTGTTACTGGACTGAGCCACCCAGACATCCCTCACCCAATTCTTCTCAAAGAGTGAGCAAGATCCCAGAAAGACAGAGCTTGGGGGGGAGGAGTCTTATTCTGCAAGCAAATGGTACCTTGATTGGATGACCTTGAGTAGATGAACCCCAAAATAAAACCCTTACATGGTTCCAGTTGGACAGCTTAATAAAGGAGGCAGAAGGAGAGGAAAAGATGTTTGACTTCACCATTTTCACCTTCGTGGACACGTCAAAGCATCTTTAATCAGAGTGAATAGCACCCAAGTCCAAAAAAAACCTACCCACCAGACAGCAAAGGCTAAATATTTAGTCTAGGAGGCAGCAGGCAGAAGCCCATCCTCTCTGCCCGAGGAAACCAAGGACAGCAGAGGATTGTCCTTGAATCCTGAAGGTTTGATTCGTCACCCTGCTAATTACAGACCTTGATGCCAAAACATTAGCCAGGCCACACTTCTCAGATTTGCAGGCGAGGAAATGGGTACAAAGGAGAGTCTCCAGAGCAAAGGCAGCCCCTGCCACTGTCCCTGAGCACTCCCAGTGTGCAAGGCCCTCACTCAGCCTGACACAGCTCATCTCAGTTAATTCCGACAACGACCCTGTGAGGCAGGCAATATCCCCATTTTGCATCTGAAAAAACTGAGGTGCCAAGAGGTTTAATGACTTGTCCAATATCACACAGCAAGTAAATGACAGGCCAAGACTCAATCTACTTTTTCTGCTAGTAAAGCCCCATACCCTGCTCCAGCCAACTACCCTACTACCACCTGCTTGCGCACACTTGTCTTCTTCGGTGCAGCGGCGACGGGGAAAACAGTTCATCAGGACAGAGAAGACACTGCCTGCAGGTGAACCTTTCAAAAGTGTCTGCTACTGAATGGGAGAAGGCTCCATGTGAATAAATACTTGGATGGCAGAGGCCTGTAAAAGCTCAGCAGCCATGCATGGAAAATGCTACAGGAGCGAAGCAGACAAGGGCGAGCTCCCAAAGCACTCAAACTACTTGGAGGGCACGCTGCCCACCCATAGTTAATTAGCATCAAATGTCTACTGTGGCTTATGAGAAAAGGTGCTTCCAATTCTCTGCTGAATTCCGGTTGCTGCTTTATAAGACAATAACCCTCAACACAAAACAACAAAGAAGGGCTCCTAGGACATGTGAGTTTCAAGATCTACTCACTAGAGAACTTCAGAGAGCAATAAATGGGTCAAGAACTTAATTCCAAAGTTGTTAAGGGTTGGACCCTGCCTTCCAGCCCCCAAATAAATGACATCAGTTGTATATGACACAAAACTTTCCAAGTTAGCTCAAAGACCAAGATGGCAGCTGCTAGGGCCAAAGCTAAGAAGGCATCTTTCTCAGAGAGCGAAATGCTGAGGTGTTCTTCTCCGCCACCAAAGAGATTCTGTTTTCTCTAGCTCGAGGTGTCCCTCATGCCTCTGTTGACACAACATTTGCCAATTATATCATTGGTCCTTACCCTGTGAGACTTGACTATTTATCCCAACTTATTAACTCATCTAGCAAGTCAAGGAAAAGAGTGAATGGTCTTCAGGAGGTGAGGCAACACCTTTGCACAGGCTTGAGGAAAAGAGAACAGGGAAATGGTACCCTGCCTTCTACTGACGCTACACACAAAAGATCCAAACATGCAAACCTCTCTTGCTCCCAACACCTCCCTGGCCAACCCTTAAAACCACTGAATCCAGAGACAGCTGATGGCTGTCATTACAGGGATCTTTCAAGATGCTGTGGGTAGGGGCACCTGGGTGGCTCAGTGGGTTAAAGCCTCTGCCTTTGGCTCAGGTCATGATCCCAGGGTCCTGGGATGGAGCCCCGCATCGGGCTCTCTGCTCAGCAGGGAGCCTGCTTCCCTTCCCCTCTCTCTGCCTGCCTCTCCACCTACTTGTGATCTCTGTCAAATAAATAAATAAAATCTTAAAAAAAAAAAAAAAAAAGATGCTGTGGGTACTGTGTTTCTCAAAGCATTACTCCCACTCCCTCCCTGGGATTTGTTCAGAAAGACTAATTTTACTAGTTTTTTCACCTACTCACTGCAGATAGTAACAATTTACAAACTACACTCATAAGATTCTTTTCCCTAACATTTCCTTAAAACATCTAGAGATTTTGTACACCGTGATAAATAAATAAATAAATAAATAAATAATTTTTAAAAAGTCCCCAACTCCATCCTCCCCATCTCTCTAACACCTGGGAATTCAGGTGTCATGGAAGTAAATTTGCACTGTTAACCCACACATAAGATGGGTATGTCAATAAATAAAATTAAGTCATTCCTCATAGCTATAATAAGTATAACGTAACTCAGACTCCAAGAGCAGGAGGGAATCATGCATCACCCCCAGAAACAGAAATGCACAACAGAAAATCTCACATACAAAGAACCATTGCTCTAAGCATTTCTGTGTGTATCCCAAAAGGGTAACTGTGGTTGCTGCCCCCATAACATAAAACACCAGTTAAGCTCTGTTCGACAGTCTCTCTTACCCAAAGAACCAGCTTAGCCAGTCCTGATCGCTGACAAGGAACCCCTGACCCTCCCGAGAATCCTGAATTCTGTACTCCCCTCTGGACCTCCTTAACACAGTGAGTCAGTTGGAAATTTCCAATAGTTTCTAACAGTAATTGTTCCCCGCCACCTCCCAACAGGTTTTCAATAGCTCTGAGCACCTTCCTAACTCCTCCTCATCCACAAGGGAGGGCTCTTACCGCGATCTCCCACCAAAGCAGTTTGTGCTGGGGGGCTGGTGCCGGTTCTCTGGAGCAACAGCAGTCCCGCTGGATTCTCTTGAGGGTGGCTGGGATCCTAAACAGGAGACCCATCACAAGAAAAGACAGAAACATTGAGAAGCTCAACCTTTGTTTGAGATGTGGCTCAGGAACGAAGTCCAGTTCGTGCATCCGAGTGCCCCACCACATGGGACCCTGGCAGTCTAGCCAGCTGCGGCCTCCCGCAGGAACAGGAATAGGGATAGCCAGATGGGATTCGAGCAGGGCCCCAGAGCAGAGACGCTCAAACCTGGGAAACAGCTCTTCTTCTCCAAGACCTTTAAGAACATCTGAGGCACTTATAAGCAACTTGCCTTGTGCATTTAATAAACTTTGGCCGCATCATAGGAGACAGAGAGCAGATGCTGACCAGGCAAAGTAGGGGCAAGCAGTGGGAGCATTTGTCCGTATCGCAACCGGAAAGCTTTTTAAAAATCCAAAGCCAATTCAATTCAAATCAAATCATGACACTCTTTTGCTCAAGAATCCTCAACAGCTTTCAGCTTCTTAGGATGAGGTCCAAAATCCTCACCAAGGTCTTCGAGACTGTGGTGATCTGAACTGACCTGCTCTTATGGGCTTACCTGCCACCACTCTCCTTCTTGCTCTCCCTGGTCCAGCCATCTGGACCACCTTTGCTTCCACTGCAGGCCAAGCTTATTCCCACCTCAGGGCCTTTGCACAGGGGATCCCTCTACCTCTTATTCAGCTACCCCATTCCCATACCTCCATCTTGGCCTGTCTAAACTCTTCAACTCCAGTGGGTCTCAGCTTCCTCAAAGAAATCTTTCCTGGCCCCCAATTTAAGTGAGATCCCCCTAAAGTATGAGAATCTCATATCACCTGGTACTTTTACTTCATTGCTTTTGTCATGATTACAATTACATAATTATTTCTTCGTTTACCTGTTTCATGTCTAACATCCCTGCACCCACCAAGTAAATCATGAGCTCCTAGGAGTAGAGACCATATGAATTTTCCCCTGCCATCTGGCTAGCACCTGGTCCAAGATTTAGTACATACCAGGTGCTCAATTATAGAAATACGTGCAGAATGAGTTAATAATGCATGTTTCCTCCATGCACCTACAGTACCCGAAGCATCACTCCATCCAGGGAGGATTCTCCAGTCAAGGCCCATCCAATCACTGAGATTCTACCCAAATGCCCTTAAAATAGAATTCAAATTTCATTCCCTTGAAGCTCCAGAAAGGCTGTTTAGGGCTTGGAAAGTGCTATAGTTACCTCACATTTAACGAGAAAAATTGTGGAGAAACCCAACCCATCTCAGACCTCAGACTTCATGAAATAATTTCCTGCTAGATCCAAAGCTGATTAATTTCAGACTAGATCAAAAGAAACAAACTGCCCTCACTCAGGACAGAGTGGGAGATACTCTAATTTCCCTGCTTCTGCCTGTATTTTGCTAGTGTGAATCTCTAAGACACACAGTCCCCTTTCCCAACCAATACCGTCATATAAGTCACCTCCAAGATCCCCCAGGAAGTGTAACTGTACTGGGAGGAAAAAATGGGCCCAAGTAACATTTAATAAAGACACTTTATGTTCCAGAGCCCATGTGGGATGAAAAAATATTTTCTCTGCCCTCAAAGCAAAACAACAACACACTTGACATTTATTTTGGTCCTTTATCAGAAAGCTGCCCTTAAAAAACCATGTCACAGTTTTGATCATGCTAAGATTGTTAGGAGGATTCAGGACTAGCTACAGACCAGGGCTGAGTGGGACCCAAAGGCAGGTACCTGGTGAGAACCAAGCCCCGGGCACCCCCCACCCCAGCCCTGCCCCACCCCATCCCGGCACAGCCCCGGGGAGCAGGGCGGCACTCACCGTCTGTCACGGCGCTGCCATTAGGCACACTTCCCAGATCAACAGTTGGCCCGTCCAGGAAAATTGTCAGCTCACCACCCGAGACAACACCGCCTTTGTTCTCCGTCTGCAGGTTCAGGGTCAACTGCGTGTTCTCCACTGTTGAACACGAAAAGCAACAGGGATGGACTAAACCAAATGCACCCCAAGTTAAGATTCTGTAAGTTCTCTGCCCTCATTTAACCTACTCTGGCACCCCGGCAATATTTTTCTGTCACTTCAAATTTGTCTTGTGGCATGGAAAGAGGAATGGGAAGGAATAGGTCTCATTGTCATCACTGTTGTATTAGACTGCGGGGAAAGGCTGGACTCTTGTTTTTCTAAACATGTTGTATCTTTATAATTTCAATGTGACTGATTTGTTTGGTTATACTTGCAGGACTGTGATAAAAGTCCAGAGATATTGATGGCGTATAGAGGAAGCAGTGAGAAGCAGCATCCCCCTACCCACATAAAGAATGGTGGCAAAAAAGAAGAGAAACAGGTCAGGAGACCCTTAGGAAATGTCATCAGGAGTCGTCTCTAGGTGAAGAATTAAAGGGGCTTCTTCTCAGATTATCTGTATTTTTAAAATATTGTTTTTAATTTTCACTTCTGAAGATGTTTCACTTAGAAATAAGGAAAAATGTTTAAGCAACAGAAGTTCAACAAAGGTAAGTGAGCCCCACAACAGTCACATGGCCCTGGGTTAGTCCCTGAGGAGAAAGCAGTCGACAAATGGCTCTGTAAGGAGTAAGAAGGCACCTTGCTGTCACCTGGCCCCTAGAACACCAGGCAGTGAAGTCCTGTGGGCGAGCAAGAAGAGTTGGGAAACTACAGAAGAAACAGAAAAAACTGACACGAGGCAGAAGCCCCAAGCCCTCCATGGTCTGGAAACTGCTGCACCCCACCCCCCAAACCTCACCACCAAGACTGGCCACACGGAACAGCTTCCACCCAGTTACTGCTCAGGAGCTAAAACCTCCAGTTCAGGGTCATTCGGTAATGACTGAGAGAACAACATTTATGAGGATTTCCAAAGGGCACGTGGTTGTTCCATGCCTTCCCACACCTTACAGAGCCAGGCTAGGAGAGCACCTTATATTCCAACCTCCCTCCCCACCCACCACCCATGAAACCACCTGCTCTACTCTATCTCTTAATTGCTACTCTATTATTATAAGCTATCTCACTGGTTTTCCATCACGAGGCAGCATATACATAAAAAAGTCTCTCTTTTAAGTACTTTCGAGAAACAAACTCCCCCAACCAAAAAAGCCAGCCCCAAATCTAAGATACAGACACAATCCTTTAAGAACTATGGAAAAGTCTGGATCAATTCAAGGAGAATAATCTGCAGTTCTGGGGAAGGAAGTGTCACGATAGGTGCAATTTACCTTCAACTGGTTCGGGGCGGGGGGCGGGGGGGGGGAATGCACATGCCCACAGGACTCACACATACAGATAAAACAAATGCAACAAAATGGTAACAAGTGTGGGGTCAAGGTGGAGGGCATCTGGGTGTACATTGGATTCTTCTTTCCATTCTCTTGTCTGTTCGAAAATTTCATAATACAAAGTTGAAAAAGGGGTTTTTTTTATTTGGCAAGGCTATTAAAAAATTAAACCTCTGAGAACAGAACACCCCATTATTCTCTTTGAAAAAAATACCTGAGCCAGGGGAGCCCTACAATGGATAATGGGACTACAGAAACCATTAGCTAATTGAGTGACAGACTTGAGCGTACAGGGGAGGCTGAAAGGAGTAAGTGTGGCTGGAAAACATACACTGGAAGCTGAGTTATAAATAGCAGCCTTAGCCACTTCGCCTCTGGGGCCCTCGGGTTTCACTACAGCCACACGGACGACTCTACAAAGGGCCTTTCTCTTGCAGCAGGTCTTCCTACTGCCTTTTGAGGCACTGCTCAAACACCAAGAAGTCGCTGAAAAAAGGGGCATGGTAAGTCAACTGCCATAAACCAGAATGAGACTGTGCCCAGGAAGCGCACCAGTCACTCTCGGCTTCGTCATCCCCACCCCACCAGTGGTCATGCCGTCCACGTGTGTGTAGAGAGCACCTACTAGTTGAGTCACTGAGACTTTTTTTTTTAAGATTTTATTTATTTATTTGACAGAGAGAGAGTACAAGTATGCAGAGCAGCAGGCAGAGGGAGAGGGAGAAGCAGACTCCCTGCTGAGCAGGGAGCCTGATGCGGGACTCGATCCCAGGACCCTGGGATCATGACCTGAGCTGAAGGCAGCCACTTAACCGATTGAGCCACCCAGGTGCCCCGGGTCACTGAGATTTAACAGCAACCAAACGGAAAAAAATTGTGTGCCTGGGTGTTTCTGTTTTAGTTGGGGAAAACAGACAATTAGCAATTTTTTTAAAGACAACTGCATCATCTGTCAGATGGTGGCAAGGGCAGGAGAAACCAATGCACAGAGGAAAGAAGAGGGTGAGTGCTAGAGATGGCAGGAGGATTTGCCGTTGTAAGAAAGGCTCGCTGGGGAGGTGACAACTGAGCAGAGACTGAAAGGAGGAGGAGCCAGGGGAAGCTGGGTAGGTGTCTGGAGGAAGAATATTTGAGAATATTCGTCAGAGAGAAAAGGAAGCACAGAGGCCCCACACAGGAGCAGGCCTAGCATGTCTGAGGAATGGCAGGGAGGCTGGCATGGCTGGAGTAGATGAGGGACGACATGAGCAGATGAGGGCAAGAGATAGGTCCCCAGAGCCCACAAGAAAAGCCTTTGAAGCTCCCGCAAGGTCTCTGCATTTCCTCTGCATGAGACTGGGAGCCACTGGGGGGCTGTGAGCAAAGAAGGGCCATGAGTGGTGCTTAGTGGAATCCCTCGGGCTGCGGAAGGAGCAAGGGCTGAGGCAGACAGACCTGGGAGGAAGTCAGTGCGATATTCCAGGTGGAGCAGCTGGTGGCTTGGGCCAGGACAATGGCAAGGTCTTCCAGGAACACAGTGCTTAAGGAAGACTCTACCTTGGCTTCCTCCCTCACGTGTGTTAGAAAAGACCCATGATTCCCCAAGCACATGGGCCCACCAGTCTCTCGGAGTCTTGGGGCAAAGGACAGGCAGGTGCTGGAGAAAGGGCCAACTTAGAGCATGGCTCGAGGAAGTCTGATTCATTTATAAGCAGATGGAACATATATAATGAAAATATCCCGCTGGCAAGAGGCTTCCGTTCTCTGAGAAAGCCAAAGGCCTGAGCTCATGCTAACTTCAGCAGTCAACAAACGGTACTTTGGTTACGGGATTGTGCCCTTCTGTTCTACATACTGTCTGGTTAGCCAGGCCTTATAATGCTACATCATGAAGGTCAAGACAGCAGTAGAGCTGACTATCAGAACCTACGGAAAGAATCTGGAAAATGTCAAGGACCATGCCAGGAGAACCCTTCAAACACTGGCATACCAAGAGAGACCAGCAAACATCCAGGTGCTTCCAAATAGAGGCACACGCCACCTCGTCAAAAAGGAAAACAGAACCCGATCAGATCAAGTCTCTTGATCTAACTTTGAGTTTACAGGAGACACGGAGGGACAGAGGAACAACAGCAAAATCCAAAAGGTGGGAAAGTACAGGACAAGCTGTCCAGTTTTTGCAACACTGAACTGGTGTGGACAAAAAGAAGGAGAACGTATCAGTTAAAAGAGACTGAAGAGACATATCAGCGCCATTCGGATCCTGATTCAAACAAAGCGAACAAACGGATATTAGAAACTTCAAGACAACTAGGAGATGTAAAACTGGGCTAGTTGATAATACTTAAATAACTACCATTATGCTTTTTAGGTATGAAATTGGTTTTATGGTTATGGGAGCCCTTCTCTTTTAGAGCTCCCTACTAAAATATCTGTGAATGAAATACACCTGGGCTTTAAGGAAAAATGACCGAGGAGACACCTGGGTGGCTCAGTCCATTAAGAACAGACTCTTGAGGGTGCCTGGGTGGCTCAGTGGGTTAAGCCTCTGCCTTCAGCCCAGGTCATGATCTCAGGGTCCTAGGATCGAGTCCCGCATCGGGCTCTCTGCTCAGCAGGGAGCCTGCTTCTCCCCCATCTCTCTCTGCCTACTTGTGATCTCTCCCTGTCAAATAAATAAATAAAATATTTTAAAAAAAAGAACAGACTCTTGATTTCTGCTCACCTCATGATCTCAGGGTGATGAGATTGACCTCCACCAAGGGCTCTGGTCTGGAGGGGGAGGGGGGAGCCGGGTCTGCTTGAGATTCTCTCTCCTTCTACCTCTGCCCCGCCCCAGCTTGCAGGCACATGCTCTCTCACTCACCAAAAATAAATTAAATGGGGGGAAAAAAAAAACCCTAACCCAGTAAGGGGTGGAGTAAGAAGAAAGATGAAACAGGAATGGCCATTGTCGATGGCTGTGGAGCTGCGTGACAGACACTCATGGACTCTTCTTTCCACTTTCATGAATGCATGACATTTTCTATAATAGCTTTTTTTTTCCCCCCAAGCCAGCATACTTAAGGCACAAACAGTGACTCGAATCAACTAAAAATAAGAATTCGAGATTATATATACAATCTGAAACACAAAAAGGTAGGGGATCTACAATCAAGCTGCTTCGGGAGGAACTCCTACTCTCATTTTTCCTTACTTCAAAGCCTCAGATTTACAAGTGGCTTCACGTTAATCATTTCCTATTGGGAAGAGCGGTTACGTGCAATAAAGATGAGTAATATTTTTCTAAGAGTTATTTTCCCTTTCTTGACTTGGACTTTTTAACGTGTTTTTTGCATATGGTATTAATAAGTATAGATAAATAGAGCATGGAAGTTGCCTTCCTTATTCCAACAAAAGAGAAAATGAGGTAAACCAGAACTGCCAAACTGTGCCACTGGTAATGGGATTCAGTTATGAAATCCAGAACTCCTGCCTAGACAGCTTCACTGTGGTGTGTGAGAAAGAATGTTCAACTTTAGAATCTTCTATCATCACTGCCCTTCCCGCTCACACAGCACGACAATGTATATGCATGTACACACCTATCTTTTAAAAGGAAAGATCTTGGGGTGCCTGGGTAGCTCAGCCCATTAAATATCCAACTCCTGATTTCAGCTCAGGTCTTGATCCCAGCGTTGTGAG